GACATAATATAAGTTATATAAATATATCACATGCTTATATATTTATATATTATGTTTTTAAAGAATATCTGCATGAGATGATTTTTAGTATACATTCTGTTTTCTTCCTTTGATTTTCTTCTTCAGGGACCTCTGGTAATCATATATTGAATTTTCTTTGCCTATTTTCAAAATCTATCACATTTTTTCAAATCCTTTTTATCTCTTTTATTAAAAAACTAGAGGCCCGGTACACACAATTCATGTATGAGGGGAGGCCCCTCAGCCCAGCCTGCACACTCTCCAATCCAGGACCCCTTAGGGGATGCCCAATTTAGGCCCTATCCCTGCAGGGAAGGCAGTTAGGGGTGATCAGCAAGCATGAGAGGGAAATTAGGGGCAATCAGGCCAGCAGGGGAGGACAGATAGGGGGTTGGCCTGCTGGCCTGATCTTTCCCTAACTGCTCTCTCCTGCTGGCCTGATAGTCCCCTAACAGTCCCCCCTCCCCCCTGCTGGCCTGATTGCCCCCTAACTGCTTCGCCCTGCCAGCCTGATTGCCCCTAACCACCTCTGTTTCAGCCCCTGCCACCATGGCTTTGTCCAGAAGGACATCTGGAAGATGCCAGGTCTAATTAGCATATTACCTATTTATTAGTATAGTCTAGAAGTCCAGTGCATGACATTTGTGCAAGGGTGGGGTCCTTAAGTCTGGTGAGAGATCAGGGCAAATCGGGGCCTTCCGGCAGCATGCCAGGACCTTCCTGCCAGCTGCTAGCTGCTGGCCAGGGCTTGCTGGATGGGGGGCCGGTGGGAGAGACTTTGGGAGGTTGGCTGGCTGTGAGGAAGAACCAGGGGAAGTAGTCTGGCCATGGGAGGTTGGCTGCGGGAGTGCACTGACCATTAGGGGTCAGCTCTTGCATTGAGTGTCTGCCCCCTGGTGGTCAGTACACATCATAGTGACTGGTCATTCTGGTTGTTCCAGTCATTCTGGCATTCTGGTTGCTTAGGCATATATATATATACACAAACACACACACACACACACACTAAAGGCCCAGTGCATGATATTTGTGCACTGGAAGGGGGTGTCCTTCAGCCTGGCCTGCACTCTCTTGCAATACAGGACCCCTTGCTCCTTACCGCTCACTTTCTTGCTGCTCCTTACCACTTAGCTTACAACTTTTTAGAGCTGCCACAGAGGCAGAAGAGGCTCTTACTACTGCTGCTGCACTTCCCAACTGTGAGCGCAGATTCTGGCTCACAGAGTGGGAGTGCAGGGGGAAGTTCCTGCATGGAGTATCTGCCCCCTAGAGATTAGTGTGCATCATAGCAACCTGTCATTCTGGTTGTTTCTCCCTAATGATTACTTAGGCTTTTATTATATAGACTAGAGGCCTGTTGCATGAAATTCGTGCACAGGAGTGGGGGTATCCTTCAGCCCAGCCTGCACCCTCTCCAATCTGGGACTTCTTGAAGGATGTCCTAAATGGGCAGTCGGACATTCCTCTCACAATCTAGGACTGCTGGCTTCCAACTGCTCGTCTGCCTGTCTTCCTGATTGCCCCTAACCACTTCTGCCTGCCAGCCTGATCACCCTCTAACCATTCACCTGCCAGCCTGATTGATGCCTAATTGCTCCCCTACCAATCTGTATGCCCATAACTGCCCTCCCCTGCAGGCTTGATTTTCCCCAACTGCCCTCCTATGCTGGCCATCTTGTGGTGGCCATCTTATGTCCACATTGGGGCAGGATCTTTGACTGCATGGGGGCAGCCATCTTGTGTGTTGGAGTGATGGTCAATCTGCATATTACTCATTTATTAGATAGGAAAGAGGCCTGGTGCATGGGTAGGGGGGGGCTGGCTGGTCTGCCCTGAAGGGTGTCTTGGATTTGGGTGGGAGTTTCCTTGGGGTGTGGGGTGGCCTGGGTGAGGGGCCTGTAGTAGTTTGCAGGCAGGCCACACCCCCAGCGACCCAAGCAGAGGCCCTGGTATCTGGGACTTATTTGTCTTCTATAATTGAAACTTTGTAGCATGGAGCAGATCCAAGCCTTCTGCTCACTTGGTGGCAGCAGCCATTTTTGTTGGGATTTATTCACCTTCTATAGTTAAAACTTTGCAGCCTGGAGTGGAGACTTAGGCTGGCCAGGGCTGCAGAAGCTTGGCTTTCTCCATCATTGGGGGCAACCCTAGCCTCCTGCTCTCTCCAGCTCCATGTTTGTTGCCATTTGTGTTGGGATTTACATATCTTCTATTATTTAAACTTTGCAGCCTTGAGTAGAGACCTAGGCCAGCAAGGGCAGAAGGAAAGCTTGGCTTCCTCCATTTCCAGGGAAACCCAAGCCTCCCTCCTGCTCTTTGTGGCCACAGCCATATTGGTCGGGTTTATTTGCATATCCGCTTCTGATTGGCTGGTGTATGTGGCTTTGTGGGTGTGACAGAGGTATTGTCAATTTGCATAACACTCCTTTATTATATAGGATTTTTTTTATTTTAATTTTTTCTTTTCTCTTAAAGCACTGTCTGTTATGTTTACTAATTCAGGTTTAGTCTTATTTTTCAAATGATTTTTCTTATATTCATAATCCTTGACTTTCATGACTTCATTCTGCAATATTTTTTTTTCTGATTTATGTTGTTCTCTCATATCTTATATCATTGTCTTAGTGTGTTTTAATATCCTTTAAATAGTAGATTGCAGTTTTAATTTGTTTTACAGGCATATCTTTCTGGCATGTTTTCAGTGTGTATAGGGATGATATATTTCATATTCTCATTTTTCTTATAGTAACTTTATATGAGTTTGACGTTGATAACTTTATGTGGTTCATTTTTATGTGGAATCCATCTTTCCTTAAGGTTTAGAAAAAGGCTTGATGCATGTAGCTCTTCTAGTTTTACAGAGCTCTATCATCTGTTATTTTTGTGTGGTATTAAAAAATGTGGTGGCTTGATGGGTTAGATAGCCTGGCTCTGCTCATTTCCCCTACTTTATCTAGACCTTTCCTTTCTTTTATTGATGTTGTCACTATCAAGTTCAATTTTGATTACACTCCCAATAGTTTCTCCTGCATGTGGGGCTTTGTCCTGGAAGATAGCCATGGCAGGTCAGTTTCAAGTGGCCATTGCTCTGTCCTCTTCAGACCTTCTTAACCATGGGCTCTGCCACTTTATAATTGCAGGCAAATTAGCTAGCTTTTCTAAGTTCCATCTTCCTCTTTAAAAAAAAAATTTTTTTATTGATTTCAGAGAGGAGAGAAAAGATAATAGAGACATCAATGATGAAAGAGAATCACTGATCCACTGCCTCCTGCATACCCCCTACTGAGGATTGAGCCCACAACTGGGGCATGTGCCCTGACTGGGAATTTAATCATGACCTCCTGTTTCATAGGTCAACCTTTAAGCCACACTGGCTGGGCCCAGATTCTTTATTTGAAAACTGATATAAGAATAATCTGTATCTCATAGTGCTGATGTGGGGACTAAATGCTATAATACGCAAAAATCTTAGTTGAATATCTGGCATTATATATACCTGGGACATATGAACTCATCAATAACTTACATTATTCCTGTGCAGTAGTTTTCCACAGATTGCCAAATGAATAGCTAATTAATGTTAACTTTCTATAAGCTTTACTATATTTTATATGGTAAAATGTCAAATCCAATTGGGAGGTAAACCAAACTAAGTTATGCATACACACATACATACACACATACATAATTTATGGTAATTAGTGCAAAAGGAACTGAAATTTGTTTAAAGTTCTTCTTCTGAGCAATAACAAGTGTGTATGTATCACCTTATCTAAAGAGTTGCCTGACCACTCCTGCAGAGGTATATTTGTCTGGGAAACATACACATTGTTAATCATCTTCTTTTGTGTTTACTTACATTTGGATGTTTTCTCCCGGTGTACATTTAGACAATTGCAGTTTCCCCCCTCTTTGTCTATTGTTGACAGTATTACAGATGTCCCCCATTTTCTCCTCCTTTGCCCCCCTCCACCCAGCCAACCCAGGCCGGAGATCATTTTTCAGGTTCAATGTAATTTCATTTTTATGCAATTGTCCTGCTTCCGGTTTTAACAATGTAGGCATGATGTGTAATTATGCTAGAAATGTGGGTCTTTTCTTCTTATCTTGAAAAATAATTATAAGTACTTTTTTCTGGAACTATATCACCATAGCACCTGGGCAGAGCCATTTTGAGATTGTTAGGTGTTTTATGGCTCCCCCTCCACCAAATACAAACAATGTACCTAGAAAGGGCAGGGGACTGCAAAGTGGTCTGGATCCAGGGTGGATTGTAGGCCCAACTCTTCATCTAAAGTTCTGCCCACTTGCTTTTGACGCCAAGATCTCTTCTTTTTCTAAAGAGCCCGAGTCCTTGAACTTCATCACCATTTAAAACATCCTGGAGACCTTTGGGCCAATGAAGGATGAGAGCAGACCCTTGATGGGAGAGGGCCTATCATGTATTGAGCTATCGGCCATATGTTCAACGTTTAAGTTGACATATAATATTGTTAATTCAGAATCAGCCACCTGTCATCTCCATTTTGCTTTGATAGGATAAGTACTGGGAAGATTGAGAAGATTAAAAATGGTGTGGGTGGGGGGGTGGTGTGTGTGAAAAAGGTGAAGGGGCTCAATACAAATTGCTAGTTATAAAATTAATCCCAGGGATGTCAGGTACCACATAGGGAATAATGTCATAACTGTGATGTGTGCTAGACTTACTGTGGTCATCACTTCATAGGCATGTCTAATCACTGTGTTGTACATCTGAAACTAATTTAATATCAAAAGTCAATCATAATTAAAAAAACGAAAACAAAAAACCAGCACCACAGAATTGGCAAATTTTTTTTAATGGATAATGGGAGCTGGGCATAGTCTAGAAAAATTGTGTATTACTGGGCAGTAGTTTAATCTATTCTGTCATATGAGTAATAGACTCATAAATAGACCATTTTTCCCCCTAATTGTGTGTGTTTTTGTGCTCATTGTAGCTTCGGAAAGCTGTGATGGATCACATATCTGATTCTTTCCTGGAAACCAACGTCCCTTTGCTGGTTCTCATCGAGGCTGCAAAGAGCGGGAATGAAAAGGAAGTGAAGGAGTATGCCCAGGTTTTCCGTGAACATGCCAACAAGCTGGTGGAGGTAAGTCAAGAGATGCCTGAAAGCTGGGATTCCATCACAGGTTTATTTTCTTCAGGTGGCTCCTGGAACTTCAATAGGCAGCCGTTCTATGGTTTTCCTGGAGTAATAAAGTCATGGAACCTTTCTTTTCTGTACTTTCTAAGGACTCCATCCTTTCAAAGGAAGCAGGTTATCAGCCAGCTCTCCTCTCAGTATCTCACACACTAAATATGACGTGGAACTTGTCTCTTAATATTGCTGAACAATAGACGAAGGCTGAAACGGAAGTACAAGGGACATCCCAAAGTCCTGAATTTGAGGGGTAGATACTGCCAGTTGGAAACCTTTTAAACCTTTCCCTCTTCTTCGTCCTCATCCCCATCTCCACTGCACACTCCTAACCTCAATTAGCTGTGTACACTATGAACGTGTGGGGGGAAAAAAATCCTCACTCCCCCAAAGAGATGTTCAGAGTCTTGCTGGAGGATCTTGGGGCAATAGGAGGAGTATCAGTATGGGGTCAGAAGTATAAAATCTGTTGGAGAATCTTTGGGAGTTACTTTATAAATGGGAAATTGTGCTGTGTGATATTGAAAAAAATGTTGATTTCTTCCCCCTGCCCCCCAAGGGAAACAAAATAAAAATGAAATGACAGCCATGCTGTCTAAATCTAGGAGCTGAAAATCAACAGCTTGGCAAAGGTTAGATTTAGTGATGTGCAGCGACGTGGAAAATGACAGATGTTAAACGGGAAATGTGTGTGCTAGAGCAGAAGATTGCAGGAGGGCGAGGACCCTGGCACATTTAGGAAATGGTTGTCAGGGGCGGGTCCAAATGTTTGCAGGCTGAGAGCACTCATCAAACACCACCACCACCACCACCACCACCACCACCACCACCACCACTACCACCACCATCACCACTGCAATTTTCTCAGGTGTGTCCCCACTTTAATTCAACATAAAATTACTGAAAATGTCAGATAAGTTGAATGCAAGTTCATAGTAAAAATCATTTCCCTATTAGGATGGCAAAATTAAATTCAGGGTAAATTCATCAGATGTGAAATCCTCTCTATGTTTCTTGGAGTGAGTGACAGGCTGTGCTCCTATTTAATTGTGCCCTGTGTACCTGCTGAGTTTGGTTAGGTCAGCACGGCCCTTGCCTGGGGCTGAAGACAGCAGGCAGCAGGATGTTCAGCATCCAGCCCAGAGGGAAGTAATGAATGTGTAAGATGGGCATTATTTATTTTGTAAATATTTAGAGAAAATCATTGATATAGCAATCTGAGCCTGGGCATATATTGGAGGAAAGGTTTAAAAATTGCAGATCTTATTTTATTTTTACTAAATGTATGACTAAATGTTCTATTTTGGGGACGGTGAGTTTTAGTAGGTTGTATTCTAGGAATTTGTTATTTTCATTTCATTTTCTAATTTTTTTGACATAAAATTGTGTCTCCTTATTTTTTTTTAATGTGCAAGAATTTGCATTACTGTTCTTCCATTATCACCACACATTCCTCCTATTGCAATCAGTGCCTTTTTTAAAATTATTATTATTGATTAGGTTTTCAAGAGGTATATCATTTTAATAATCCTTTCTGAAATACAGCTTTTAGTTTTATAGACTTTATTTACTATTTTAGTTATGCTCTTGTCTTTATATTTTGTCTGCTTTCTTCTGACACAATTTTTAGCCCTTTAAAATTTTTAGTAATATATGCATTTAAGGCTATAAATTTTCCCCTTAGCTATGCTTATGTCTGGTTATTTTCTACTGCCTAGCCCACTCAGGCTGTCTTCATCTGTGCACAGTTTCCCTGAAATTATTTATTGAGTTCATTTTTTAAGAGACTTTCTAGTTAAATTAAAAAAAAATGATTTCTGTTCTCTGGTAAGAATCATTATGAGATCATCTCCTTTAAAAGTGTAATAATTGTAGTTATTTTAAAAATCCAAGTCAAATACTCCACTATTTTGGTCAATTTTGTTTTCTGTTTGGTGATTACCCCAGAGAGGGCACCTCCCCCCACTTGGCTTGGGTTTTGACATGCAACAACAGCCACCAAGAGCATATGAACAGGTGTATTACTCACATGCCCAGACTTTCTGGGGAGAGCAGAGCAGGACCCAAGCATGTCCACAGTGTCTTCATCAAAGACAAGAATAAGTGGCTTGAGTTTTTATCATGTAAGGGGTTGGGACTGGAGTCAAAATGTCGATGCAGGAGGCTGGAATTTGAACAGTGTAACTTTCAAAAAAAATGGGCTGCTTTAATTAGCTTGCCCAGGTATGGAGCAAGATGAAAAGGGGAAATAGTGGGGCTTAGATGCTATCAGCAAACATTCAAGGAGTAAGACTGCTCATTACAATTCACCTATGACATTTGACTGTTGACATTTGAACGGGGTGCACCAGGTTTTATTGAGTTGGATTTGAACTTGTGTCAGTAAGCTATTAGGGAGCTCCATGAGGCTTTCAAACTGGATACAGACTTTATTATGATGTCTATTTTTATTATTTGATTTTTACCTGAATTTTTATTTTTTTATATGCCAGGTAATATTTGGTTGAAGGGCAAACATCTATATAGGAAAACATAGAAGGTGTATGTTAGTCTATTTGGTTGCTATAGCAAAATACCACAGACTGGGTGGTTTATAAACAACACACATTTATTTCCCATGACTCTGGAGGCCGGGAAGTCCAAGATCAAGGCTCCAACTTGGGGAAGCCCTCTTCCAGATTCACAACAGGTGCCTTCTTGCTGTGTCCTCACAGAGTGAAAGGGGGTGGGGAGGGATTTCTGTTATGTGCTTGTGTAAGAACATTAATCCCACTCATAAGAGCTCTACCTTCATGACTAAGAACCTTCCAAAGCCTCACCTCCTACTATCATCACATCCAGCATTAAGAATTCAACATATGAATTTTGGGGGGACACAACATTCAGACCATATGGATGATGTGTTTTCCTCCAGAGAGAATTCAGTTTGTCCTCTGAAGGGCAGCAGAGAGGGTGACCATCTCGATCCATCAAGGATTGAAGTGAATGGACTCTGGGTTGTGGTCTTACTAAGGTATAATCTGTCTTCCTTTTACCCCAGCCTATGGAATAGTCTTCCAGGGGTGACAACACAGGACCAGTTGTGTTATTTAGTATCTCACCTCCCTTGGGAAGCATTTACTCCGATTTCTATCTGTGCAACATCACGAGAAGGCTGTAAACTTTGCTTTTTTTTATGCTTCCAATTTGCTTTCTGCCTTCTGTGATACACAACTTAATAGACAAAGATCTTGGGGAAGACTGGTGATAGATAAAGTGCCAGTCTTTGAATCTGCCTTCTCTATGGGACTTTAGCTTTGCATCTTTGTTTCCTGGGCTGGTCTGGATGCCAGATTTTGTCTCCCAGGTCTCCGGAGATTGCCACAAACCCTCAAGAGTTATTTTCCTCTCCGTGCTGCCAGGGCATCTCAGGTTCCCTGTCAACACCAAGAGTGAGCAAATCTCTGGGAGGAAAAGGAAATGCAGAAAGTTGAGCTCCCTCAATGATCACCTGCTTTTGTTCTTGTCTAAGTTTTGACCTCTGTGGCCATTGTCCCACGTTTTTAAGCAAATTGTTTTTATTTTGCATTTCTAGTTCTCAGCAGGAAGGCAGATGTTATTGGTCTCTCCATGGCTAGAAGTGGAAGCTCCTGAGAGCTGGTTTAGAAAGTTTGTGGGGTGTTTTTGTTTGCTGTGAATATTTTTAGGCAGAGATCTCTTCATTAAGTTGAAATATGGAGTTTCCATAGCTCAAATAAATGCACATACCAACAAAAGTTGTTCTGAATGAATTGAAATGATCACCCCTCTTTCTGTCTACTTTCTGCAATTCCTCTCACCAAACATAGACTCACAACCTTTTAAGAGCATTCGATCCCTGTTTGGCAACCTTTGACAGATCTCTAAGTTGCCATTAATATAAATCATACCAAATTACATCTATAGAATTTTTGAATGGAGAATGCATGAATACATGAAATTTTTAACCCATGAATCAACGGTGATAGTTTTAGACCATCTATATTTCTTGATTATTGAGTTTATTATAATATACTGTTTGCCATCTATTATGGTTTTTTTCCTTCTATCTATCCACCATCTTTCCCTGGTTTGGTATTTGCTGTTCACAGAGAGTGATGTGATGAAGTGAATGGAAGGTGTCTCAGCCTATTACACAATGTTGTGGTCTTTTTAAAATATATATTTATTGATTATTGATTATTGATTTCAGAGAAGAAGGCAGAGGGAGAGAGATAGAAACATCAATGATGAGAGAGAATCATCAATTGGCTACCTCCTGCACACCCCCTACTGGGTATCGAGCCTGCAACCCAAGCATGTGCCCTGATTGGAAATCAAACTGTGATCTCCTGGTTCATAGGTCGATGCTCAACCATTGAGCCACACAAGCTAGGTCAATGTTGTGGTTATTCGGAAGTCCTCTACGAGGATAGCTTTAGTGCAAATAAAATATTAATAAGATGTGAATGGGAAAAATAATGGAACTTTTTAAAATTGCTTTCTCAAGTGAAATGTTGAGGGTTCCCTCACCCCTGCAGTGTTGTAACATTTAATAAAGACTAAGTTAATTTACACCAGGGTTTGTTGATTAAGAAAATTTAACAGTCAACTATGGTCCTCTGTAATATGGAATACTAGCTGCTATAGGAAGCATCACCAATAGAACTGAATTTTCTTGAGAGAGAGAGAGAGAGAGAGAGAGAGAGAGAGAGAGAGAGAGAGAGAGAGGTGTCAATGAGAGAGTAGAACTGAAAATTGTAAAGAGGATATTTTTATTGATCACAGAAAGGAATGGAGAGGGAGAGAGATATGGAAATATCAACGATGAGAGAGAGTCATTGATTAGCTGACTCCTGAATGCCCCATACCCCCAGGTATCAAGCCCCAAAAATGGCCATGTGCTCTGATCCACAATCAAATGGTGACCTCCTGGTTCATAGTTGATGTTCATC